ATGGAAGACCCATGGAGAACCAACGGAAAGCCAATGAGAAAACCACTGGAAAACCAATGGAAGACTCATGGAGAACCAACGGAAAGCCAATGAGAAAATCACGGGAAAACCAATGGAAGACCCATGGAGAACCAACGGAAAGCAACCAATGAGACAACAACCAATGAGAAAGCCAATGAGAAAGCCAATGAGAAAGCCAATGAGAAAACCACTGGAAAACCAATGAGAAAGCTAATGAGAAAGCCAATGAGAAAGCCAATGAGAAAACCAATGAGAAAACCAATGAGAAAGCCAATGAGAAAGCCCATGGGAAAACCACTGGCAAACCAATGGAAGACCAATGGAAAACCAATGGAAGACCAATGAGAAAGCCAATGAGAAAGCCAATGAGAAATCCACTGGAAAACCAATGAGAAAGCCAATGAGAAAGCCAATGAGAAAGCCACTGGGAAAACCACTGCAAAACCAATGGAAGACCAATGGGAAAGCCAATGAGAAAGCCAATGAGAAAGCCAATGAGAAACCCAATGAGAAGACCACTGGAAAACCAATGAGAAAGCCAATGAGAAAGCCAATGAGAAAGCCAATGAGAAAACCACTGGAAAACCAATGGAAGACCCATGAGAAAGCCAATGAGAAAGCCAATGAGAAAGCCAATCAGCAAGCCAATGAGAAAGCCAATGAGAAAGCCAATGTGGAAGACGAATGAGAAAGCCAATGAGAAAGCCAATGAGAAAACCACTGGAAAACCAATGGAAGAGCAATGAAAAAGCCAATGAGAAAGCCAATGGGAAAACCACTGGAAAACCAATGAGAAAGCCAATGAGAAAGCCAATGAGAAAGCCAATGAGAAAACCACTGGAAAACCAATGGAAGACCAATGAGAAAGCCAATGAGAAAGCCAATGAGAAAGCCAATGAGAAAACCACTGGAAAACCAATGAGAAAGCCAATGAGAAAGCCAATGAGAAAGCCAATGAGAAAACCACTGCAAAACCAATGAGAAAGCCAATGAGAAAACCACTGGAAAACCAATGGAAGACCAATGAGAAAGCCAATGAGAAAGCCAATGGGAAAACCACTGGAAAGCCAATGAGAAAGCCAATGAGAAAGCCAATGAGAAAGCCAATGAGAAAGCCAATGAGAAAACCACCGGAAAACCAATGGAAGACCCATGGAGAACCAACGGGAAAGCCAATGAGAAAGCCACTGGAAAACCAATGAGAAAGCCAATGAGAAGACCACTGAAAAACCAATGAGAAAGCCAAAGAGAAAGCCAATGAGAAAACCACTGGAAATCTAATGACAAAGCCAATGCAATGAGAAAATACCTGAGAAAGCCAATGAGAAAGCCAATGAGAAAACCACTGGAAAACCAATGAGAAAGCCAATGAGAAAGCCAATGGGAAGGCCAATGAGAAAACCACTGGAAAGCTGATGAGAAAGCCAATGAGAAAGCTAATGAGAAAGCCAATGAGAAAGCCACTGGAAAACCAATGGAAGACAAATGAGAAAGCCAATGAGAAAGCCAATGAGAAAGCCAATGAGAAAACCACAATCAGCAAGCCAATGAGAAAGCCAATGAGATAGCCAATGAGAAAGCCAATGAGAAAACCACTGGAAACCCAATAGAAAGCCAATGAGAAAGCCAATGAGAAAGCCAATGAGAAAGCCAATGAGAAAACCCCAATCAGCAAGCCAATGAGAAAGCCAATGAGAAAACCAACGGAAAACCAATGGAAAACCATGAAAAGCCAACAGAAAGTCAATGAGAAAACCAACGGAAAACCAATGGAAAACCCATGGAGAACCAACGGAAAGTCAATGAGAAAACCACTGGAAAACCAATGGAAGACCCATGGAGAACCAACGGAAAGCCAATGAGAAAACCACTGGAAAACCAATGGAAGACTCATGGAGAACCAACGGAAAGCCAATGAGAAAACCACTGGAAAACCAATGGAAGACCCATGGAGAACCAACGGAAAGCCAATGAGAAAACCACTGGAAAACCAATGGAAGACCCATGGAGAACCAACGGAAAGCCAATGAGAAAACCACTGGAAAACCAATGGAAGACTCATGGAGAACCAACGGAAAGCCAATGAGAAAATCACGGGAAACCCAATGGAAGACCCATGGAGAACCAACGGAAAGCAACCAATGAGACAACAACCAATGAGAAAGCCAATGAGAAAGCCAATGAGAAAGCCAATGAGAAAACCACTGGAAAACCAATGAGAAAGCTAATGAGAAAGCCAATGAGAAAGCCAATGAGAAAACCACTGGAAAACCAATGAGAAAGCCAATGAGAAAGCCCATGGGAAAACCACTGGCAAACCAATGGAAGACCAATGGAAAACCAATGGAAGACCAATGAGAAAGCCAATGAGAAAGCCAATGAGAAATCCACTGGAAAACCAATGAGAAAGCCAATGAGAAAGCCAATGAGAAAGCCACTGGGAAAACCACTGCAAAACCAATGGAAGACCAATGGGAAAGCCAATGAGAAAGCCAATGAGAAAGCCAATGAGAAACCCAATGAGAAGACCACTGGAAAACCAATGAGAAAGCCAATGAGAAAGCCAATGAGAAAGCCAATGAGAAAACCACTGGAAAACCAATGGAAGACCCATGAGAAAGCCAATGAGAAAGCCAATGAGAAAGCCAATCAGCAAGCCAATGAGAAAGCCAATGAGAAAGCCAATGTGGAAGACGAATGAGAAAGCCAATGAGAAAGCCAATGAGAAAACCACTGGAAAACCAATGGAAGAGCAATGAAAAAGCCAATGAGAAAGCCAATGGGAAAACCACTGGAAAACCAATGAGAAAGCCAATGAGAAAGCCAATGAGAAAGCCAATGAGAAAACCACTGGAAAACCAATGGAAGACCAATGAGAAAGCCAATGAGAAAGCCAATGAGAAAGCCAATGAGAAAACCACTGGAAAACCAATGAGAAAGCCAATGAGAAAGCCAATGAGAAAGCCAATGAGAAAACCACTGCAAAACCAATGAGAAAGCCAATGAGAAAACCACTGGAAAACCAATGAAAGACCAATGAGAAAGCCAATGAGAAAGCCAATGGGAAAACCACTGGAAAGCCAATGAGAAAGCCAATGAGAAAGCCAATGAGAAAGCCAATGAGAAAACCACCGGAAAACCAATGGAAGACCCATGGAGAACCAACGGGAAAGCCAATGAGAAAGCCACTGGAAAACCAATGAGAAAGCCAATGAGAAGACCACTGAAAAACCAATGAGAAAGCCAAAGAGAAAGCCAATGAGAAAACCACTGGAAATCTAATGACAAAGCCAATGCAATGAGAAAATACCTGAGAAAGCCAATGAGAAAGCCAATGAGAAAACCACTGGAAAACCAATGAGAAAGCCAATGAGAAAGCCAATGGGAAGGCCAATGAGAAAACCACTGGAAAGCTGATGAGAAAGCCAATGAGAAAGCTAATGAGAAAGCCAATGAGAAAGCCACTGGAAAACCAATGGAAGACCAATGAGAAAGCCAATGAGAAAGCCAATGAGAAAGCCAATGAGAAAACCACAATCAGCAAGCCAACGAGAAAGCCAATGAGATAGCCAATGAGAAAGCCAATGAGAAAACCACTGGAAACCCAATAGAAAGCCAATGAGAAAGCCAATGAGAAAGCCAATGAGAAAGCCAATGAGAAAACCCCAATCAGCAAGCCAATGAGAAAGCCAATGAGAAAGCCAATGAGAAAACCACTGGAAAACCAATGAGAAAGCCAATGAGAAAGCCAATGAGAAAGCCAATGAGAAAACCCCAATCAGCAAGCCAATGAGAAAGGCAATGAGAAAGCGAATGAGAAAACCACTGGAAAACCAATGAGAAAGCCAATGAGAAAGCCAATGGGAAAACCGCTGCAAAACCAATGGAAGACCAATGGGAAAGCCAATGAGAAAGCCAATGAGAAAACCCCAATCAGCAAGCCAATGAGAAAGCCAATGAGAAAGCCAATGAGAAAACACTGGAAAACGAATGAGAAAGCCAATGAGAAAGCCAATGAGAATCCCAATGAGAAAACCACTGGAAAACCAATGGAAGACCAATGAGAAAGCCAATGAGAAAGCCAATGAGAAAGCCAATGAGAAAACCACTGGAAAACCAATGGAAGACCAATGAGAAAGCCAATGAGAAAGCCAATGAGAAGAAAGCCAATGAGAAAACCACTGGAAAACCAATGAGAAAGCCAATGAGAAAGCCAATGAGAAAGCCAATGGGAAAACCACTGGAAAACCAATGAGAAAGCCAATGAGAAAGCCAATGAGAAAGCCAATGAGAAATCCCCAATCAGCAAGCCAATGAGAAAGCCAATGAGAAAGCCAATGAGAAAGCCAATGAGAAAACCACTGGAAAACCAATAGAAAGCCAATGAGAAAGCCAATGAGAAAGCCAATGAGAAAACCACTGGAAAACCAATGAGAAAGCCAATGAGAAAGCCAAGCCAATGAGAAAGCCAATGAGAAAACCACTGGAAAACAAAAGAGAAAGCCAATGAGAAAGCCAATGAGAAAACCGCTGGTAAAAGCCAATGACAAAACCACTGGAAAATTAATGAGAAAGCCAATGAGAAAGCCAATGAGACAGCCAATGAGAAAACCACTGGACAACCAATGAGAAAGCCAATGAGAAAGCCAAGCCAATGAGAAAGCCAATGAGAAAACCACTGGAAAACCAATGAGAAAGCCAATGAGAAAGCCAATGAGAAAGCCAATGAGAAAACCACTGCAAGACCAATGAGAAAGCCAATGAGAAAGCCTGGAAAACCAATAAAAAACCAATGAGAAAGCCAATGAGAAAGCCAATGAGAACACCACTGCAAAACCAATGAGAAAGCCAATGAGAAAGCCTGGAAAACCAATAAAAAACCAATGAGAAAGCCAATGAGAAAGCCAATGAGAAAGCCAATGAGAAAACCACTGGAAAACCACTGGAAAACCAATGAGAAAGCCCATGAGAAAGCCAAGGCCACGGCGGCAGCAGCGCGGCCTTTGGCGGGGCTCGGTTCCTAGAGGCGCGCCTAGTCATGTTGCCGAAGGCCTGGCCTTTGAGCGATCTGTGGCTCCTGCCATTCTAATATAAATATATGTAATATACGTATGAAATCGTTAATGTATGTTTTCACACACCGCAATATACATATATATATATACATATATATATTTATGGTACCTCCTCCCCCCCCAAAGGACCCTGGTTTTGTGCGTTTGACCTGTATTTTTCCAGTGTTTTGTGCCTATATCATACACATATTGAATGGCCTATGTATGTACACATACACATGCACCTTCTTGTGCAACACTCTGGTTAGTGCTGAACATCTAAGACACACACACACACGCAAACCTGCACCTTGAACAGCAGACTTAGGTTGGCCTTCCCGGTCACTGAACCTAGTTATCCCAAAGGAAACCTGATGCATATATCCTGTTGGCAGTCAGTTGGCAGCCTATTCCTTGTAACTCTTGCCCACCTACAGCAAGCAATAGCTTACCAACAAGCAAAATATCACACACTCCACCCTATGGTTTTTACGCCGTTTCAAAAGCACCGACCAAAACCAACCAAATATTTTTGGCATAAATCCTGCCATTTCAAAAACACCGCCCATAAACTAACAAAAATCACATATAATCAAATCAGCCCACCAGTATATCAAATATCCAAAAATAATTCATAATATTTGAAATATTATTTACCGAGTGTCAGGTCCTTTCGTTTCCAATTTATCCTTATGCTTATCTGTTCTTTCATGTCTTGCCTTGTTGCATGTTCTGACTTCACAATTACAAACATCACAATGATAAGTTTTTTGTTTGTATGCTTTTTCCCTTGCTTTTACTTCTTCGCTTTTCCTGTTTTCTCTCCTCCTTTCATTTACTTCATCCCTTCGTTCTACTGTTTGGCGATGCCATTTGTCCCTTCCCTTCTCACGGCACTTGTCGCAATTTTTGTAGGGTTCCGTGAAGAATTCCACACGCCTATTTGATTGAAAACCTGAGCAATATTTTTTATCCATAATCCTTACTATGTAAGGCATCATCCCTTTAAATAGTTTTAGACACAAATAATATTTTGCTCTGGGGCAAGACCCTCATAGAAAACAACCCACCAAACAACAAACCACACAAAAAACCAAACAAGGAACATAACAAAGTCCAAAATATGAACATGTTTAAGATAATAACAAATTATCTTAACAATGCTGTTGTTTAAACATATTCTTTAATGATTAATCTGAAACCAAATGATTGTATGCCAAAACAGTGAAAACACTGGTGCAAATTTTGAATGCCGTTCTTCAAATGTTTGACTGCTTCGCTCAACACTTTGTTAATATTGTGTTCATTTATGTTTAAGTAATTATCTTCATTCAAGTCATAAGGACAGAAACTTATGCTTAAACTTGAAAACATGCCTTCTTTATATTCTCGCTCACTATGCCTTACTCTTATGTTTAAAAACACATCTAATTTGACTTGAAAATCAGTGTTATCTTCTACGTCTTCATAGATTAAACTTAATAACTCATCTTTTTGCTTGTTGATAATACTTTCAATGCTGTCCATTCCAAATGGCACTCTTCTTTCAATATCATATTGCCTTTTAACTTGTTTCTGTGTTCCTCCATTTATTAGTTTTAGGTATTTGTATATTGTTTGTGGTTCAGTTGTTTTAATTTTGTAATTGGTCTGTGTTCTCTTCAATGCTTCGTTATGTCAACTTTTTATTTTTATATACTCAGGTTTGCCAAATTTAAAGGAATTAATATTGCTCAATATTTCAACAGGTAATTTATTCATTTCCATTCTCACTAATATATATATATATATAGGTATTATTTCTTTAAACCTTTTTAGTCTAAAACTATAATTTCAACATTTCATGTCGCAATAGAGGTTTGGGAAAATCACTAACATGATAATACTTCTGACCCAATGTAGTTTCTATTTTGGTTATTGTATGGACTGTCCTTAACCAATGACTGGTTCTCTCTTTCTTGCTAATCCCTTTCTTTCTCATTATCTTGACTTTGTCCCCTACATCTAAATCAGGATACACACGGGTTTTTCTGGCATTCATTGATATATTCAGTTTCACTTCAAACTCATTTTTTCTTCCTTGCTTCTAATGGTGTCATTTTCGTAACGGAACTTACTAATTTATTATTATATGTCAATAATATTTCTAAATTGTAATCTATCCATTGTATCTTGTTTTTACCTTTCTTTTCATCCGCATCAACTCTTTTAAAAAGCATATCCTTAAAGGTTCTAATAAATCTTTCTCCAAAAGCAGGGTGTCCTCTCGTGGTGTGTAATTCAATTTTTTCCTCATCAAGATAATCTGTAATGGTAGAACTAAACAAACTGCCTTCTTCGTCGCTGTATATCATTTTGGGTTTTCCGCCCATTTTCTTAATGCCTTCCATTATTCCTGCTAATGCATCTGGCGGTTGCTTACTTGCTATGGGTATTACAGTAGCATATTTACTAAATATATCAATTAATATTAATCCAATTCTAAACTTTTGATTTTCCAAATCATTTTTAGAAATAAAGAACAAATCTAACTGAAATTCCCAGAAGGCATGAGGAGCAACAAAACTATTCTGCCCTCGCATTTTCCTTTTTTCCTCAACATTCTTTTTAAAGAATTCATTTACATCACTCATAGTAATTGTTTTATCTTTCTGTCTGGCATCTTTCAACGTTGTTGCTTTACTACCGTATCCGCTTTTGTCTTATTAAAATCACTAATTATGTTTTGTTTATCCATATAATAAATTAAGATTTATTATATTGATAATATTATTTATAATTTAAATTAAGGAGAATAAGTTAATTGATGATTATTAAATTGTGTATATATCTCACGTCTTTCATACATCATTTTAATAATGCGATTAATATCTCTCACGGTATTTTTCACATTAAATTTTTGTGCTTTTAATATATGATTTAATGTCTTCTTTTAAATCACACCCTTCTCTCCTACGATGCAACAACATCCATAATATGTGGTTAATCATTTCATACATTTTCTCACCGATTTTGAGAAATATTCTAACATAACTATAAGGTGGTCTTTCATACACAGTTAAAAAATTTCAAAATTTCATCTCCAATATTTCTATTACTTTCTCTTTCCAGATTTAAATGATATCTGATTAATTCTTGATTATCTCTCCATTCCTGACAAATTTTACATTCATCTTCTTTACCCAAAGCATAATCAATAATATTATTAACTATTCCATTAGGTAAATTCGTTTTGTATAATTCCATATGTTCTTTTTTGAAGTGGCAACAGTCATAGCACTTCTTATTGATTTAATTTTTTCTTCTTGTTCGTTCATTACTCTCTACTATATATAGGTATTATTTCTTTAAACCTTTTTAGTCTGAAACTAAGATTTTAATATACAAAATATTAAAATCTTAATGTGCTGATACATTACAATAGACGCAGTAGGCAATACAGTTATCCACTTCATGTTGGCGAAAATTACATTACCTTTGTGCTGTAAAGTTGCTACATAATTTACCTTTCTTCGTTTCAAAGTTAAATGAAGTATTACACTTTTGGTATCTGGCACGAAACTGTTGTAAGCACCACCCAGCACTTATGTATTCTTCCTCATTAATTTCTCTTGGAGCGCGACGGTCTTGTATCTTATAATTTTCTACTTTATTCTGAAAATATCTCATTATCATATTTTTTCCATTTGTTTATCAAAGTCATCATTCTTGAAAAATCTGACTTTTCTGAAATCAACGCACCTTGTAATTGCCGTCCATAAAATCTCTCTGGATACAAATGATAAATTCCATTCATGAATACTGATGCTTTCTTTTACACTTGCTCCCTGTGATGAATGACATGTGGCACAGTATGAATATATAAAGTTAGCATCAACCACAGGTTCAAATAACATAAATTCATCTTCTTCATTTGCTATGTTTTGTAATGTTATTTGTTTTCCTAATTCATCATCTTCTATATTTGTAATCGTATCTTAAATTGACATTTACCCTTGGTTGTTTAATCCATTTTCTGGCAATTAACATATCACCTACTACATACTTGGCATTTATGTCTAATCTGTCCCGTATTTCATTGGAGACAGACCGACACCTTAAATTAGTATAAGCAATGTTATGCTTGATGCCATTATATCATCAGTGATTTCAAAATATTTGGGTATGATGTCATTTATTGGCAATTTATTTCCCAAAAGTCAGCATACATATCATTAATTATTGCTCTGTTTCTTTCTCCTTCTTCACTATCTCTTGCACCTACTCTTTTACAAATTGTTAAGAAGATGTTGTATTTAAAGATTGTATCCAAACAATTATCCATGTATGTCGCCGGGTCTTGGCAGTTGGTCATTACTTCCACTCCTTGTAATTGCTTAACATCGCCCGTAGCAACTACGATTTTATCCGGATTATTCTGAATAAATAACCTTACTTTATTCAACACATATAAATTTGACATATATATTTCGTCAAATACAATTATATCATAAGGTGAGTAGTCATACTGTGGCAATTTCTCTCCGGCATCTTCATGAACGGCAATGCTAAAAACTTGTTGTATGTTGTTGCCGATACGTCTTTCTCTTGTAAAAGTCTCTTTGTTGGAACAACGAACAGAACATTATAATTTATTGTTTGGAAATATTCGCCTATATAACTCTTACCTGTGCCCGGCACTTTCCCTTTCACAAGGCATGGATTTTGTTAAATAACTTTTTTACAAATGCTTTCAGTATTCCATTCATCTTCAATAGAAATATTAATATTCTTAACCTTCGGTATTTCAGGTAATTCATTAAACTTATACTTGTATGGTTGGGTTGGTAATGTTATAGTGTGCTTCTCTTCAAGTCTCCAGTCGCCTATCTCATCGCCAAATTTCAGCAGTCCTTCCTGCAATTTTCTTAAACAAGTATATCCATAAACTTTTTCCAAATCGTCTTCGTGGATAGTTATGCTATCTGTTTTA